AGACTTTAATCGAACATTTATTACATTTTTCCAAATTTAAATTTCGTATTTGTGTGTATTCAGACTCATTAAAAAAATTATTAAAATTTAATACTGAACAAGATTTATCCTTGCATAATGCGAAATTTATAGATTTATAGCTTTTATAGATTTATACATTTTCTCGAATGAATATTACAATTTAATGTTATACTGCGATATTCGCAATGGGATTCGATAATTTAAATGTTACATTTTCTTCGCATCACAATTTTCTGACAAAATGGGAAATCAAATTCGATAGCAACGCGTTCTTCTAAACTGTTAACGTTTCGAAATGAATTCATAGCTGAGCGATGAAAAAATCGTTGTGTATGTATTGAATATGCAAATAAATTCTTGCGATTTGTGCCGTATCTTTGCATACGAATCCTAAAAATATCGACATGTCCGGCGCGATCATTGACAGTAATTTCTCAAGCGAATTGTTATCTCATTCGAGACTTCGCAACATGAAACCAGCGTTATGAGAAATAGCGAATAGAATATTGTTTATTACAACATCACTAAAACGATTTATAAACATTTTATAAATAAATACTTGAGAAAGAAAAGTATTTTGCAGAATGTCAAGTGTTTTTAATTATGTACGTGATGGAAAAGATAGAGATAGAAGGATAGGAATTTTAAGCACATCGAGATATTATTTTTGTATGGAGCGGCGAACTCAATTATCTTGCCATTCTTTTTCACTCTGATGAAGAAGACGCTGTTAGCTTTCTCTGGCCCAAACTTCAATTACCTTTTAAAATTTTTTAAATCTAATAGATTATATAAGAGTTACTTTTTATTTATTTATTCGTTTATTAATTTAAGAGAAAAACAGCTCATCAAGATAAAAATCTGTAAGATTCTTGTGCAATATAATTCATATCATTAAAATGCTTATCTTAACTTATCTTATTATTATTGCTGTTTCTATGAACGTCTGATTTTACATACACAGGATTGCTACAAAACTAAAATACAATAATACAACTATTCTACAGTACAATAGATGAAAAATGTAACACATATTTTTTATTCTTATTTTCTGCAGATACTTGATAATTCTGGACAAAAATGTAGGTTTATGCCGTAATTACGGATAGCCATCGGGTACAGTTTAATTAAGTGAAGTTCGCTGAAAAAACCTAGGCTTGTGTCACCTTCCCGCGCTATCTACGCAAAGAGCTCAGCCATATCATTAATTATTCGCGCCAGTCCGTTGTCCTGCGACATCCATTTCCGGTTACAAAGGAATCCCTTGTGTATATCTTGCCTGTTTGGATCTAGTTAACTCTTTGAGTCGGCGGTCCTTTTCGAAACGAACGATAATTGACATATATAATTATTATATATCCCACTGTGTTAGCCTAACGAGACTCCAATTGTAATTTAACTACGCGTTTGTGATAATTGTTAAACAAAATTATTGAATACTCGCATTTATTGATTTATACTCGAAACTGTTGAATAGATACTCGAAACTGTTGAAGAGTCTATCCATAATTTACATAAAATCATTTTCATCGTTTCTTCACTTTTCTAGTTTGTGTCCATTATTCGATAAGTGCAAATATCGATTATGAAGACAGGCAGATATTGCAAGGTGCTTGGTGGCGCGGATATTATTAAGGACAGAAATGCCGGATTAAACCGACTTTGAAATATCGTGGGTCCGGCCTTCGTGCGCGCACTCGCTCCAGTTTTGCCACGTCCGACTCATAAATCGCATTTTCCGCGATATTTCGAGGAGCGAACTGTATCCTTCACCACTGATTAGAAAACTTCGCGCTTCGCCGTTTTTCGCTCTACCCGAGGCCGTATTTGATTTGACTTTAATGCGATTTTTCGCGGTAACAGCCGCAGCTCGTAACCATCCCCGGCAACAGCTCCGTGATCCGAGGCGAGCAAAATGTATGGCGAACTCGATTATCTTGCCGTCCTTTTTCACTCTGATGAAGAAGCCACTGTTAGCTTTCTCCGGCCCAAACTTCAATTACCTAATCCTTTTAACGATAAAAGCATCTCCGATTTCAGTGCGGCATCAGGCGGAACCGTGCAATAAAATATCGCAGAATTCACGCGAATTTTTGACTTAATAATGATGCTCTTTGTGATATTTACATAACTATTTCTATCTATTATAGGAGAAATTAAACTTCGGTTTATCTCCATTCAAAGCACAGATTTCGTAGAGTTATATTTAATGGGAATGATATAAGTTATAAGATCGATTTGACGTTATCCGGAGAAACGCTGTTAAAAATTGACGTATCATGACAGCGCAATCAATCACGATCGTTTTTCTTCGACACTATCATGATTGCTCACGTATTTATACGCATTCGGGTTTCTAAAAATCTGGAAAGTTATATATTTTCACGTTTTACTAGAATTATTTATTTATTTTTAAAGATTATATATTTGATACATTTTTAAATATATGCTCAATTGATTATTATCAACTTCTTGATAAAATTCGATAAAATGGCGAGATTCGATTAATATTTCATTTTATTTGGTTTTTCACGTAACTAGCAACCTTCAAGTATTGTAAAAGTATTAATAATGAGGTCGATGATAATAGTCGACGTGTACTCATGTCTTCAGTGTTATTCCGGTGACTTCATGAATGCGAAGAGGAGAGAGAACTTACCACCATGATAATATTCAACTGAGTCGACAGCGGGTTATCATGGGGCAATATCTACGGTGGCTAGGGAGAAAACTTGACTGTACTCGAAGCAAGCGGACACCCTCGTGCAGCGCAATCGATCGTGCTCTTCCTTCGTGTGGAACTCCCGTTCTCCGCGACATGAGATAACGTACAATCGTGATGCGTGGGAGCGTGCCATGTATATCGATCTTTCTCTACCAAGTTCTTCCATTCGTACACTCCAAATTTCTCGGAGTGAACTTTCACTCCAAAAAAGTGAAAATATAACCGCTTTTGAAAAAGAAAATATTTTATTTCTTGAAAAAGAGTGACAATTTTCAAGAAGTGAAATATTTTCACTTAGAGTGAAATTTCATTTCAAGAAATTTAGAGTGTATACACCAAGTGATATATAGCAGCGTATATTTTGAATCTAAAAAAAAAAAAGAATGACAAAAGGGTTCACCCCTTCTCGAACAACGATCACGATTCTAATCTTTTTCCTACTCAATTTCCCGTTATTTTTCAGCGTCAGAAAATCCACACGAACAGTGGACAGTGACACGCACACACATACACACTTGATAGGCTCTATGCCCTTCCTGTCCTTCACCCTTATGACTACATGACTAATTGTAATCCCTTCAGTCAAGTTTTTTTTATTTTTGTTTGTTTTTCTCGTACACGCACCTCTCGATACAAGCAAGAGTCTTTAATGATATGACGATGACCGTGATATGATACGATATGATATGATATGATAATGAAATGATTAATGTGATCATGATCATGATTTCTTACCATGGTTTTTATATTTACTTATTTGTTGCACGTTGTTTGGTGCGTCTCCGTAAGCAGTATGAGGCGCTCGCAGACCCCCTGGTCGTCGACATTTCGAAACAGTGCTCCCTCATCCCTTGAAAAAACGAGGAATTAATTTATTCGAATGTCTCCGTGAGTCCTTTGATTTAAAAGCGATTCTCAACCCTTTCAAGCCCTTAGCCCAAAAAAGAATCGATATCTCGCCGTCAATTGTAATCTTTTCATTTTTGTGAAGATAAAGATTATTAGAATTAATTTTATTGTCAATTAGGTTAATTTATTAATTCATTTTTCTTTGTACATGTATTATAATTTTATGGCAAGACAATCCAGACAATCACGTATGCCATTATACAATTAAATTTCAACATTTGAAGTGTATGTATATATTTCTATGACACTTGACTTTTTAATAATCTAATTAATTGTTTAAAATGTTGTGATTTTTTTCCAGTTTTATAACAACTCTTGTTTTATTTCTGGACATTAAATGCGCGAGTTCTTAGAGTATTGTTCTGAAACTTTGAAATAATAAAGTGCGGATGATAGGATACGAATAAATGGATAGATAGCTATTCCTTTCAACTTTTGCGATAGCGGTAGAATAAGAGAAGCGCGAGATCTATGGAAAATAACAAAAAACGAGATATCCACGAAAGCTTCTGTCGCTTCGTCGCGTCTCGAGGGAGCCTCGGGAATTAATTAGCGTGTCTCGCGCGATACATAACGGTCCAGAGAGAGAAAGAGAGAGACAGCTATTGTGCATCAAAGAAATAAATAGGGCTGGCTTGGAGAAGGAAAGGTAGGGCTGAGGGTGATGGAAGGGTTCAAAGAGAAAGAGAGGAGCACAAAGGAGCTGGCCGGTGTTGCCCGCGGCGAAACGAAAGAATCGAATTTTCTGCGTCTTCCGTCCAATCTTCGATGAGAATGAGATCCTCTATTGACTCTATTCGATACGAAAATCCGTTCAAAGATCGGGAAAAGAAACTAAATGGTCGAAAAATGTATCTCGCACATAGTTCATAGTTAAACGCGACGAAGCTACATATTATGTCTTTTGACATAATGATAAATTTTAACATTTTTTGCAAAAAAATTATTGATTTTTTGTACATACTGTAGTAAAAAAGATAATTAAAAATCGATGGAAACGCGCGCGTTGTTCTTTACCGCATTAAACGAAATGAAATCGTCGCAATGCGAGACGGGGGTTGCTTTTTTTATCAGTCCTCGTTGCGCCCCGGCGATATCCTTTTCGAAATATCTTCCATGTATGTACACCCTTCCCTGCCCTCCACTCCCCCACCACTTACCTCACTAGTATGTACATATATTATTATATGTACGTAAATGAAATATATACATAACGCGCGCGCGTGTTACATGTGTACGCGCGCGCGGAGACGAAATGTCGGCCCAGCCAGTCGGCTTTTTGCGGAGCGCTGGCAGTCTGTAAGTTGAGTTTAATGCATGTTGTTTTGTCTGTCCTTGCATGCAGGGATTCGGTTTTGTAACATTCGCAAATAGTGCTGACGCGGACCGGGCACGTGAGAGGCTACACGGCACCGTGGTTGAGGGCAGAAAGATTGAGGTGTGCATGAACTTTCTTATACTTA